GGGGCCCGGGGTGACTGAAATGGTCAAAATATGGTGAAAGGTTGACAAAAACTGAGGGTCCCCTGGAAAGAGATCGAATCACCCGGGATGAACACGTTGCCATAGACCAGAGAGAAGGAAGGGCAGGTGATGCACCTGCCTCACCGACCTCATTCACTATTTTACACACCCAGAAAGCTATCTGGGGTGATCGAAAGCGAAGTACTTCTCCCTCCAGGTTGAGCAAGGATGGGCGAAGAGATGAGTGAACGAGGTGCGATCGAAGTGGGTAGAAAAAATTATAGAAACATTATTGCTGCCTGCCAGCCACCGTTGGTGCGTCTAGACCGCATGAAGTGAAAGAAGAAGTTAGGCTCTCACCCTCTAGGGTGAGAATGGGGAGCGAAGGGTTCCTGAACAGGACGGATGACGTACCGGTCCCGCCCTCCGTCACTTTTTCACACGCTAGGAATTTCCCTGGCAACCGCCCACCGCACCTGATATTGAGGTTCAAGAGAGGCGTTCATTTCTAGCTAATAGTAATTCGTACAAGATAAGTTACTATCTAGGCCTGCAACCACCCCTAAATATCCCATGGCGTCTCTTAAATCTTGTCATTCCCACAGATTCCCGATCATATCCTACTCAGGTTGGTACTCCAGTTCTGATAGCGTAACGCCCTGATGCAGATGGCTTCTGACGATCCCCCGTATGTCATCTCTCAGATCGTTTGGTGTGGAAACTGGACAAAAATTGAGCATGCGATGCGGGTTTGACTAGTTAAGAGAAACTTACCCATCACCAGTGTCTGGCCTCGCTCGTCCCGAATGTTCGGCAGCCTCTCGATCTGACTGCCGGACGCTTCGAGCGAGACAATATGATGGTAATCGGGCATACCTTGGTAGAAACATGCTCGATCATGTTTGCCAACTGGTGTTCTATTATGGGCGAGGCCATTCCCAACATAGATTGAAATGCTGAGAATCTAAATCCGCTTTCCAATAAGTATAAGAATAACCTTCATTTAGGGAGGTTGACAGACATAGCCTTTATCGATAACGTCATCTTCAAGGAGGGCATCGAGCAGACTCTGGGCTGAGGTTGTCATCTCTGTTTCATTAGCTTATTTCGTTCAGATCTCATGAAGAATGCCCTTACCAATCGAGTCTATTTGCCACACCAAGTGCAGCCGGCGAACCTGAAGAGCACAGGTATTATAGCCATATATCATCTTCTTGAGGTACGGTAATGTCGCGGCGATCCCAAATCCACTTGCAATCATCAAAGCAGTTTCATAGTGACTGACATCTTCGCTTGTCCCATGTGGCCCAGTGAAAAGGGCTAACAAAGACACTGAGCTATCTGGATTGACTGTGGTACAACGGAGAAGATCTAAGGTCATGCCACGTCGTGGTTGTACAAGAAGATCCAGAGTGTCTTGTTTACCCCGTGACCAGGATGTGACTGTGAAAGGATGTGTCTGTGTCCACGACCATAAAGTAACCGACGGCACCCAGAGATTGATATACTGACCGGGCTCAACCTTTACTGGACGAGGTAAGGCAACGCGGATATGGGCCGCTATTGCTGTGTTGCCGCTCTCCTGGGATTTCCAGAAGGCGGGTGAGACCAGAGCCCGAGGAGCCCCGCGGCCAGAAAAGAGCCCGTTTCGATAAAACAGCGTCGCCAACTCCAAACATGTCGTCAGACCCAAGATACCTAATGCAATGTAGACATATAGTTTTGGCGAGCCATTGTGGGCTGAGAGATGCTGCCAAGTGCCATACACAAAAAGGCCGGCCAAGATCTGATGGGCTCGGAGGAAGATCTCGTACGACCATTGACGAAAGAATGGAATGGAAAATAGAGCAAGGGCACTTAGTGAAGTAACGCCCTACAATTGTTAGTTAGGTTGGCATGATACTACGAGAGAGACGTACGATCATAGTGAACAAATTGCGTGTGTCACCAAGCGGAAAGCCAAAACTTTGGCTTTGTATCTCAGCAATAATGTGAAACGACACTAAAGCAACAACCATCCACCCAGTCGCATGGTGAATTTTGCGGCAAGTGCGCCATTTGATACCAAGAAGGTCAGCCAGATAGGAAAGGTGCAAAGCTGACAGAGGGAAGATTGAATTGATGAGTGCTAGCTCGCCTGCTCGCCGGCCAGCCCCAGTAAACGAATCGGTTTTGAGGAAAACCAGAGTGATATTGGTACTGATATATATCATATGGATGAGAACTCCGGATCGAGTCCATGGACCCCAGATGCGATGCCGACGAATGAGGACTGGGAGAGTAAGATATCGAGACAGCAGGACACTTAAGGATTCTGTCCAGCCAATTAAAACGGAGCGAGTCTGGATCAAAAGGAGAGCCAACAGAATGCCGCCAGCGGCAATTGCATAAATGGCTGCTACCTCCATAATCGCATTCACCAGAGGTAGCTATAGAGACTTGAAAAGGTTGTGCTGGGTAAAGAGCTCGCTGGAATTAAGACGCTTTAAAAGCAGGTGAGACCACTGAGGATGAATGGCCTCGCTGCGGCGCGGCTCCCTGAGGCAGAACATGGCTGGCTCCCACAGAGACCTCAGTCACCCTCAGTGACCGGGTTGAGGGTATTTAATAGGCTGAGCCACCTCCATAATGTTAGGAGATCCCTCAACCCATTTGGTCTCTGTGGTAACTACATCATGTCGAAGGAATCCCAATGGGTGAAGAAGCGCCGGTCGGAGAGTGCGCGGGCGAAAAACCAACAGCGAAATAGACGGAAGCGAAGCCTATTCAAGAAGGCTAAAGAGTTTTTTTATGAATGCGAGTCGGATGTCTTCTTGGTTGTTCGAGTCCGCAAGAACAGACAAATGTATATTTTTGATTCGTCCCCTCAGGATCACTGGATCAAAGACTTGTCCAACCTGGTACCTTACTCTAAGAATCGTGTGGATGTTCCACCACTTACAATAATAGGAGTCATGCTACCCTCGTCCGATCCAAGTACCGGCGGAAGTAGCCCCAGAGCGTGGTGATGCTATGTCGGGTCAGGTGGAATAGCTAAAGTCTAGGAGACCTAATCAAGGAGAATTTTCTCATCGATTACCAACTTTTTATAAAATATTCTGTGTCCAAAACGATGATAATGGCATGCATATACTAAGAAGGAAGGATCACATGAAGCCTCTTCTCCTTCCAAGATAGCAATAAATATTGAAGAGATTGATGGGGCTGAAGAAACTTTCAAATTTACTTGCCGTTCACGAGGCGCCTCTCAGAATTTGACATAAGATATGACATTAGGGTAACAGGTGCCTGGTGGGGACGGCGGCGTAGAGTGTACTTGGAGGGTTTTGAGGATTGGATTTAGCAATGCATAAGAATCTAGGATGAGGGAAGCGCTTGGCACTGAGCAGACATCCCAATTTTTCAAAAGCAGGCGGTTAGTGAACCTCCGCAGTGAGCAAGCGCCACATGAGTCATCTCCTCAGTACTGTCCAGGAAGCTTACTTGTGCGCACGGTCCCGAGGCATAGCACCGCAGCCTGCAGTACAATATTGGGCCATCAGACCAGGAGCATGTAGGAGTGACCCGACTTCGAACTATTGACGGTCACCTCCTCAGGGAAAGAGGCGCCCGAATCGAGCTCCAACGGCGCCAAGCCTTTGCCTGCTTTTCCAGTTGCTCAGATGCTGACGTAAGTCGTCCTGATTCAGGACCACTTACCTAATCCACGTTGGTCTAACTGGTTAGTCAGTTGGTTAGGAAGCTTAAGTTAACTAACTAGCTAATTACTGCAGTCAACTAGCTAATTACTGCAGTCAACTAGCTAATTACTGCAGTCAACTAGCTAACAATAACCTAACTGAGTTGATTAGTTGATGAGGGTTCATAATCAAGTGTCTGGTTGGGAAAGACATATATACATGCAGCATGCTTAGGGCATAGTGGTTGAGCTCTTGCATGCTAGATAATGATTAATAAAGATGGTTACCAAGGACTCCCAAGGAAGGAATGAAAATTCGTTTGAGTTGTCCGAAGATGTCTTGTTTGTTCTTGGTCGGGTGGGCTGCATTAAGATCCAACACCGTTGGCCAATATAGCCCCAAGCGATGGTTCTACCGCACGTGACCGTATCAAAGATTTCGATAAGGTCACGTGCTAGGTAGAATGTTGTGAAGGAAAGAGCAGCACACCCCCACCGGCTCCAGATGATCGCTCGCCCCGAGCATTCTGATTGGCTTCCCCCTTCTTTCTTTTGTGTTCTCTGTTATTCCTCTTTGGAGCCCCTTGAGGGTGTGTGCTATATATAGTGCCTTTAGGCCAATAAGAGCACAGCATGCTTCCCAACTCTGATTTTCTCATCACAAGTGACGTCAGCCCGATTCGTGATGCCTCAGCGTAAAGTCCCACAAGCATTTTCTGGTACCCCCAGCCTTCCCCCTTTCCCTCTCCTCAATGGAGGGAGAAGAAAAAATTCTCCATCGTTGCCAAGCGCTCAGTGAGTATTACTAAGCGCTCAGTGAGCACTCTGAGTTCACAGACCTCGGGCCGGGCTGGGATCTCGCCATCATTGGTCGGATACTCAGGTCACATGATCTTATTTGGTAGAGGCTCACTCTCGAGTGCAAAATCTTACGAATATTGACCAATTCATCCGTGGACTCTCTCTCCCTTTTCTTCACTTTCGAACCTTGAGACGACCATAAGTTCAAGCCTTGGGTTTGGATCAAGGGTCATAAATTAACAACATTTTCAAGGAATTCGTATAATCATGTTTGAGCATCTTTTGCGGGTGATAGTTGCCACAATGTTGAGGTCAACGTTGAACGGATGCCACGATCAGGGAGGGTGAGCAGATCTCTGAGCAGAAGACGAGTGGCCGCTACCACTTTGGTCTGCGCCATCTGGCCGTTTATCCATCCATCCTCTCGGCCCTCCCACGACTTCCTGACGACTCCCATACTCACCACCAGAGCTACTCTCCCCATGGAAGTAGGTGTACCGGAATGCTCCAGATCAAACTAATTTTGAATGTAAGTTAGCCACTTGGGCTCGGTCTTCCACTCACTCACATTGCTTATAGAGCACGCGGGATGGTGAACCCAACAACGGTCCCCCACTATCGGAAGATAAGGTGTGTCCTTTACTGCATCGGCCTGTAAGGTATCTAATCCTGTTGCAGATTTTACGAGCGCTTTCCTTCTTTTGCAAAGTCCAATCATCGCTCTCTCGCGACGAGATTATCAGCCTCTATGAACGAGTCGGAACGATAACCAAGTGCCTTCTCCACTTCGACGTCGAAGACGATGCCTCTCCACTGCAGCCACTTGCAGCCAGATTGTGTGACCCTGACACAAATGCTAGCTCATTTCCATCTCAGTTTATTGGTAATGTTCACCACATCCAATCCACCAAAGTTGTTATTACTGACCTCGCTCGCTTTTCCAGACCCCTCCTTGATAACTTTAGACAAAGGCCCACGAGACCATCCTAAGACAACCTCATTTACATCTCCAGATTTGGATCGACCTCACCTCCCTACACAGTCAGGCGCGAGAGAGCTGCTGAGTGAACCATCCTCGTCGCCATTTGATGAGGGAGTTCGAGGGCACTGCACCTCAGGCGCCTGCAACAAGGACAAACCTCCACCTTTCGAAAATGCCAATGTAATACCAACAACACACGGCTCGGTTGGACATGATGAAAATGACTTTGACTCCGTCTTTCGAGAAATTGACGAGATGGATGCATCGGGCCATTCGCTCAATGTTCGCCCAGGGTATCGCGGCTGTACGACGGACCCTGAATCTTCTACGTGTCCTCCAGGGGGAGAAACTGGCGAAGAAATTGCAAGGGTGGATTCCGATGGAGATGATCCCATGACCAGCCAACCAAGGACGCAGATCTCTGACAGCAACCGCGATGAAAGGATATGTCACGATATTTCAGTTGGCAACATTCAAGAGCGTTCTCATGAGATGGCCACGGCAGGCTCCGAAGAATACAGTCATAGAGCCAGCCCTGACAATACTACCTGTGAAAATCAAGAGCAATCCGCTGAGGCTTCTGTAGTCACCCCCGGTCCGGGCACGGCTATCTCTTATTCTACTCCTGATTCAAAGACGCCAAATACGCCGATGCCCGCAAGCAAAAGAGTTAAAAGGTTTGAAGAAGTGACATCAGGCAGAAGTTTTCTACCAAGTCCTTCGCAAACCCCTGGTCCCGCTAGTGGCTCAGCCGATCGAACCCCCAACAGTTGCGAAAGTGGACGGTTATCAGCACTTCAACCAACGGTTGAAGACGCCCCTGATGGTACCGAGCTTGGAGACACTGGAAATGAATTTCCCGATGACGACGGTTTCGAGGATTCAGAGATACAGTCCGTCTTAAAAGAGGCGCACAAGTTCCTGCAGGCCACATCTTCTACACCTGAAATGACATTCGAAGCTCCGGAAGGAGCAATCAAAGCATCGTCCCGAAACATCGATGTTACCCCTGAAAATGGACTTGATCCAACTAGAGGAAGCCCCAGTAGTGCGTCTATCTTATCTAGTTCTATCAACTTTGATGAAGCTCATCCAGTGGCATCTCATGAGGATGTTGGAAATTCAGATGATGACTATAGCAACAGCCGCAAACGAAAGCTTGATGTTGCCTCCCTCGAAGAACATGCTGGCTCAACACCTAGCACTATGAGTTCTTTATCAGATGCTCTGTCCGATGATGCCGGCTCCGAATCAGCAGCTTCATCTTCCCCGCCCGCCGAAGAAGACGAAGACGAAAACGACATGGACAGCCAGGATCTGCCGCGTTCTGAATCGAGACAAGCAAGCACGGTTTCTGAGCAATCAACCGAAGAACTGGATGAAATTATGGCCTACGAGCCTGATATTCCGGGCTCAGTATTTTCAAAGCTCACCGGGCAGCAAGCGGGTGAGGTCCGGCGCATAGGCGATCATCTTCTTCTACGCAACCTCGCTTGCTTTCTGGGGACCTATTCTAGGGCTTGGAAGGCCGCTGGTTTCTGGAGCGCCTCCTCCTGGACTACTACGCAACCCTCAAGTATTGTCTTACGACCAAATCGTGCCGGCCTCATGACCTATCTGGTGGGTTTACACAACGATAATGCCATACATGATGTGAAGGTGCGAATCGCAAGGGTTTCTCTGTTCCTATTCTTTGAAAGAGAAATTGAATGTGAGCGCAGACGTGGTACTGAGGAAACTGCTTTGAAACGCAACGCCGTCAGCAACTTGTGCAACTCGAGCGGCCTAGGGCCAGTGGAGAAAAGAAAGCTTCACAAGTCATTCCATAATGAAAAGAAGATTGGTGAGTATTGGTGGTGGTGCGTCCATTTCTTCGGCCCCAGCTTCCTTGTGCGCTGCAGCAAGGAAGCAGGCAAAAAGATGTCAGTGTCCTTCTTCCCGACTTATCAAACTACCGGCTGACTAGTACCGTACTTAGAAACAATGGTTCGCGTTTTCCCTTGGATGCAATGATTGCGTACGTTCTGCACGAGAATCCACTTCCCGTGAAGCCCTACCCTGCACTTGATGAGGCAGTGATCCGCTTGTTGATATCGGGAGACTTTCCTGAAGAATTTTCGCGACAAGACGTTCAAATGTGGGAACAATCCACCGCCACGGGATCACTCGCATCTCCGGCTTGGCGACCTTTCAGTGCTGAAGCTGTCACCAGGGAAGCTCTGGCCAACCTGGAGAAATGGGCGACAAACCCCGACAATCGTTTGCTAACTTTTTGACCTCTTGGAAATTCCATATGGTTCCCTTTCCCCAAGTGTTTGTTCTGGCGTAGACTGGCGTCACGTAGGTGGTTATTAGGTAGCGGTGCTTTAGATAGACCTTGATATGAGCTATTTACCAACTTGGACATCTAAACAGTTCTGTCCCAAAGCCAAAACAAGGCAACTGTAGCTTTTAATTCAGAATATAGTAACCAACTCGAAGGCATAGGGCAGAAGCGCCACAATTTTACTGCCTATATGCGGTTGCTCTTCATGATTCCTTCAGTCTGGTGCAAGCTCCTTCCGGGCGTGCTAACGAGGACTATTGTTATCGAGAGCAGCGGCTGTGCATCTCTGTATCCGTTTATGTAGAGGCCCTTTCACCTTGGCGTTGGTTGGCGTAGACGTACATGATGTGAATGTGACCCGCTTATGGTGTTTTACTTGGTTATGCAGACAATATCGGTATCGAGTTAGTTGTGCTTTTAAGGCCGCGTAGAAACGGCATGTCCCATTAAAATCGAGAGGTGAAATACTACTGTAAAATTTATCACGAATTTTCCTCGTGATCATCGAAAGGAAAATGGTGGAGGACCGCTATCTTCTCCATCTCAGTGCTTGAATGTTCCATCAACCCATCCTTGATACTTTGTATGATGGCCCTGCACCGATTGAGCTCATCTTCATCTGACACCCAGCCAAGGGCATCTGTCCCTATTAGTTCCCTCATCTCGCCCAGTTCCTTCAATTTCTCTTGTTCTTGCCGATAATCCTCGGAACATTGCTGTATCTCTTCCTCAGAAAAGTGAACGGGGCACCCGACAGATCTCGCTGTTTCTCCTTCATCCAGCGACATAGGCCAATTTTTGAGAACTTGCAACATGGCATACTTCAACGAGACAGAGTCTCCTTCCCAGGGAGCCAGTGCATGGTGAAAAAGCTTGGCTCGAAGCATACAGTTTTCGGCCCTGATTGCGTCAAAATGATCCGGAAGGGATTTCATGGTCAACGCAGCATAATAAAAGTGGACCAGCCGTCTCCGCATCGTCTCTTGAATAGTTTCTTGTTCCTCGTGGCTGAGTCTATCAAAATTTTCTGGCAACTTGACCTCTGGCTTAGATAATGTCTCAGACATTGGATCGCCCCAGTTTTGAAAATGTTCGGGGATTCCAGCGCATAGGCAGAGAGGCAGAATAACTGCATGTTGCCAGTCAATTATCCCTACCACGTCGTTGGAGGTATTTACTATAATGTTATTAGGTGAGAAGTCTGGATGGCGAAGTGTCGGGCGGGACATGCGGTGGTCGGAGGGGACGTCGAGGTAAGGCGCTAACTTCAAATAGTTGGTAAGGAGCTGTTGGTACGGAATAGGTGAGAGCATTTGGAACTGGTGTATTTCTCGTAGGTATCTTTCGACATGTAGGCGTGGTTTGCCAAATCGTTCACAGAACTCTAGCTCGCGCTTGGCGGGTGCTTCGAAGCATGCAGAAAAGGCATTCCCTGGTTCGAAGTCAATATTTGCAAAGAAAAGGCACGGATAGCGACTCACATGGGCCGCGGTCAACCTCTAAAGAGGCTCTTTCCTGATACCACCATTCATGTTGTGCAGTTGGGCCAACGACAATGTCGTCTAAGACTGGAATAACGTGTTGTGAGCTGTCAAGATCACGGCGGTGATAAAGACTTCCGCTTGCTGGGACGTGGATGCTCATGAACCGTCTCTCCACATCAACAATCTGTCTCATTATTTTAACACGAGTTTTGTTATCCATGGAGAACCACCGGTCGCTCAAGGGTGTTCCTTCGAGTCTTTCAAGTAGAATGTATTCGGTTCCAACGGGATTTGTCTGGTCTGGAGAATACGCAAGGACTTTAGGGACGGGGACCCCATGAGCAAGCAGAAGTGCGAGTGTGGCAGCTTCACTGGCCACTGCGTAATGTTTTGGAACAGTCGTCTTGTAAGGCAGTCTTGCAAGGATTGCATATCCATCGTCGAAGGTGATTTGCAAGACACGGTTGAAGCCCCCCTCGGCGAGTTTCGTGATCGATGCTACATCATTGAGGTTGCGGCCGACAGAATGGCAGGCCGTCCTTGCAAGAGCATCTATGTCGAATTGGATGCGGCGTTCGGCGCGGCGGAGCTCTTCGTTAAATCTATCAAACACGGCCTGTTAGTTCATCGCAGAAGTCATCGCAAAAGTCAGCTTGTTAGAATAGCGCGTTCAGGAGCGAACCGCCACGACTCACAAAAATCGCCCAGAAGTGTACTCGAACAGATCAGGATTACCACGCAAAGAAGACATCCTCCTGGGGATTGACTTTGAGGATCGACTGAAATATCTCAAAATGTGTCGCATCTTCTAGCAGATGGCTTCAAGGTAGCATCAAAGCTGGTCTTATAACCTGGCACCTGCGTACTTCCAGGGTTAACTTGCCGAACTCTAGGCAGCTAGCATCCGCATTACTCAGCACGGGCGCACATCTCACTCATCAACTGTTATCATAATCCAGCCGAGTAGTGTAGTGCACGGGCCCACCTAAAGACGAGAGCAGGGGCCAACCCTTCATGAACGATAACACAACCAACTCTCACGACCACAAGAAACATATAACAAGCCGTCAAATGAATCTCAGGTGCCTGCAACTATATCCCTGGCAATAACGAATGCGACAGCTGTACGGGGCACACAGCAAGCTACCCATCTAAGATGCGTCAATTACCTAGCATGACCCGCAACGAGATAAGACCTATGTACGGCACCAGGAATGAGCTCTATAATATCTTATCTGCGTTTGATTTGAGCGTTAGTCTATCTTGGTTGAACCCACCGCGCACCAGGCACCATCACGAGACACCTAAAAGTCAATCTGAAAGGCTTGTGCAAAACATTAAGGGCTAGTATGCATAGTGTAGGGAGTAAACGTGAACAGGAATCAATTAAATATATTGACGTGATTTAATCGATTGGAGAGGGCGCGGGTTCAGAGGTATGTTAGAAACACCACCTTGATAGACCGATAGTAGAGCGATGGGATGGGTAAGCGCATTCGCCAGATGCCACTATAAGGACACTCAGCCTCAGATGCTAAGTACAACCTAAATACAAGAGTGGGTAAACTTGACATGTCATAGGCCTCTTAGCAGAATACGTCTAGTCTATCTCACTATCGACCGCGTCAAGAGCTGCCTGGACATCATCCTTGGTTCCACCGTCAGGAACTTTGATGGTTGCAACGATTCCGTGCGTTCCCTTGTCGTGCTTTTGCCTCCACTGCTTCCAGGAGGTTGGAATTTTGTCGCCCGCATTTACCTGAACCTGGAATCTATGGAGTTTCTTCCCATTCTCCTCGACAGTACCCGCGAAATCGAAACGCACCCCTAGACTCTCAAGATCTGCCGCGGTCTTGGGGAAAGCGGTTTTGTGGACGGCAACACTTGGTTTCACTAGCTTTCTGTAGCCATTTGCATGTTTGAGGACGGCGTCCTTGACCTTGCTCCACTTGTTCGGCATGTGGACGATGGTGCTAGCTGCCGTCAATACCTTTTTTTTTCCTTGGAAGATAGGATGAGTATTTACCTTGTGACTGAAGCCTTGTTGTTGTATACGATATTAAAGAGTTGAGCTTTGGTTTAGGACAGGAGAAGAACGGTGTGCCCCTTTATACTTATGTACATGGGAGGAGAAAAATGGCATCCTTTCACAATGTGTCATTGGGCGCGTACGAAATAGAGCTGGTTGGGCCACTCCTAGAGCATGCTGAACTAGAGACTTGGATTCAGTGCGGGGATGCTCTATTCTTGGACTGCTGACAAGTCTAAGTGGTCAAATATGGCGTGTGGAGATAACCTAGACTTATCCAGTCATGCTACAGTATACGACCGTGATAGTGCTCCATCTGGGCGGCTAAGTAGAGTGAGTCCTGCCGTATTAGCTAGGGCCAATGGGTTTGCGAGATAGGCTTGTCTTTGCGACATTTATGGTGTAGCGTCGCACTAATACGCGAAAATTTGCATTGTTCTCTTTCGACGAGCGCCCCCTATAAACACGGCGAAACGCTAAGCTTGCAGTATAATCAAATTTTCCCTGAACATCACAAAGAATGAGCTGGTTTTAGCAACCTCCATGACCCCTATTGTACTCTGTACACCGACGAAGGTAATCTGAAACCTCAGGCGCAACAGGACTAATTAACTAAAGCAAGAGTAAGCGCGCTAATTAATTGGGCGTCAGGCTCTCTTTAAGGCGTATTGGTGTATGGAAAGTGACAACCATGCGTTAGCGAACAAGTGTCTCCCGGCCATTGTTTCTTGGTGCCTGGCCTAATTAGGATAGCATGTTTCGGGTACGGTTGTTGAGAAGGTAATCTGTTTGATGCATGGGATGAAGAATAATTTTACACACCTTCAAGCAATGTGGGATTCAAAGTAGGGGATCATGTCCCTTGCGGCTTCACTGGACCTGAGTGATGATAAACAAATGATTGGGTGGGGGAAGAGTTCAGATTGCTATCGATTCAACACTACTACCTAAGCTCTTTGCAGCGTCCCTCACAAGGATACATAGACAAAACTGACACAGAAGGCCAGCCTGAGCCCTTATCGGAGCCCTAGATATATCTGGGAGCCGCTGCAGGCTATCTTACTTTCCACAACCTTGATGCCCACATCAGCGTTGTTATCAGATAATGGACTGCTGAACAGTTTCTTGTTCTGGTGAATGCAGAAGCCGTGGGGTATGGAACCTCGGCTACCCCAAGCTTTCAAGCGAGTCCGACCCCATACTCTTTATTAAGTAGGCGGTGAAATATTAAGAAGCTGGGCGGCAACTTGTCCAACCCTTGGTCAAAGGGAAATCGAGGACTAATTTATCACGTGAATTACTCTTTGTTCCTCCTAATTCTTTGACGTTCTGCCGGTCACGATAGACTGAGTCCATGCCCTCCAGAATATCTGAAACGCATGTTATTATAGCAAGAAACCTACTTTGATTTTTACATCCCATGGTAAAATATCAAAGTAGGTCTCCTGACCCATAGAGCTATATAACCTAATGTAGAGGTAGATAAAAAAGTGCCTAACTGGTCGCCCAACGGGTGGGCTGGGCAACACCCCACTTTGCTGAACTTGAAAACCCAATGTCATATTTCGTGCCCCTCGGCCATTCTCACCAACGCTCCTGGAACCGCTGGATTGCGAACAATAAATGACACATGTGAGTTTTGTTTTTTTCGCTCAAGCGCTCATGTGGCTTATTTGCAGTGACTATTTTTGGGCTCCTACCCTAGGTCGTTCACTCCGTCCTCACATATGCTTGCGAGACTCGATCGGCACCCTGTTCGTCGATGACTCAGTCACTCATGGATGACTTGGCCACCTTTCTCGACAATGCCAGTTGGCAAAAAGACAAAGAAAATCGGAACGTCTTTTTTTGTGACGATGTTGGTTTGGAGCCGTTATTGGTGAAGGCTTCCACCGAATTTCCCAACTATCTCCAACGGCATGGATTTCAAGTATGGAAGGTTCTGGAGGAAACAAAATTCGTGGAGAAGGAAGGAATTGGAAAGCAAGGCTACATTATACCAGTGACGATTATCTCCGGCCACCCTCGTTTATTGTCCGAGCCTTCTCAGCCTCTCCTTGTTCCGAAAACCCCAACAATCTTCCAACGTGAGCCTGTCATCTCACCAGCGTTGTATCTCATTCTCGCTCTCCCGCCGGCTACATAATACACGGAAAGGGGTCATAAAGTCTGCACTGGCTGAGATGTCGAACACCCAATATATGGGGATGGGCCGCAAGGATACAGTAAAGGATAATCTGCTGGTGTCACAGTTCGTCGTTGGTAGGGAAAAACTTGAGGGTAGTCTGCTGGTACCAAGGTGGATGTGGCTGTGAATGCCTCAGGGAAGTCTGCGGGTGTGATCATAGCTATTGGGTTTCTTGTGACACCCATCAGCTCGGAATATTGCTTATGAAAATGAGCACATATCTTCGATCTAAGGATGTGGAAGGGTGACTTACGACATGTCCATTTTGTTCCCCGTTGAATTGAGCACTGTTCTCCACTGTTGCGTTTGCATGAAAAGGTCCGTTTGTTTCAAAGTGTGTCGGTGCTGTTGGCATATGCCCAGGTCCAAGTGTGTGCGCCTGGACCGGAGTTCCCATAAGATCCGACTGATTTGGTAAAGATACCCGGGTGACTGCTGGCTCGTAAGGTAGCTGTCTTACACCTTGCACCATTTCTGTTGAAGAAGCTTGCCCGTTGTTTATGCCGCTATATAGCGAATCCACATTGGCAGCACCCTGTTGAGGAACAGGTGCTTCGGGAGTTCCTAGACGATGTTAGCTAGTATTAACAACAAAACCTGCGCCAATACTGTATATGTATGGGACATACCGAAACTAGCCTGGCAAGATTGAGGAAGTCTCGATTGTAGCCAATCGTCTCCAGTCCCCCTTGGCCGTCTATCGTCCCTTGGTACCTGGAAACTTGCCGCTGATAAGTGGGTCTCAATCACTTGATCCAAGGCGGCTTTCGTCGGTCCCAAAACCTTGGCGATCTCGTCCTCTGCCAAAATGTGAAGGCCACGTCTCTCTGCTTCTTCTGGCAATCCTTGCTCACTCAGGCCTTTTATCATGGCAATTCGGTTTGGATTTGTTGCTGACTTGGGCAGCTCCTTGGTCCACCTAAGGAATTGTAAGCAACACAACCACCCGTTTTTCCTACTATGTCACTTACAACGACTCGCCCCCATCTTCAGGGAGGATATACAGTGCTCCTAGCCCTCCAAGATCTCTCGCAATAAGATCATACCTCTCTCCTCGACCAACCCAGAGTCGTACTCGACTTTCAATGACAGGAAGTAAGTCTTTACAGCCCAAGCTTCTTATGGCATGGGCTATGAACAGTGAAATATCGTCGTATTGATATTGAGTACTTGGCTGTATGGCGTTTTTCAAACGGTAAAATGCCACATACAAAATCCTGAGTCGGATTTTACCCAACTCCTGTTGCTGTTCGCAATAGATGATGAAGTTGTAGAAATATTCAAGGGAAGATGTTTGCAACGGAGGTTGGACATGGCAAGACAAAGGTGCAAGTTTAAGGTTGGCCGATGAACCAGTGTGGCCTTCTGCCCTTCCGGGTGAGTGCAAAGGGAAGAGCGATTCATGCTTATCTTGCAAGCCTTGGATGACTGGTGAAACCTGAAGTTGATCTGAGGAGCGTGCAATGGCCTTCTTAATAGCGGGTTGACGAGGAGTGCGACGGATGGTTTGCGGTATATATTTGTATATGCTTTTCGATATTCTGATTGTCTCCTTCATGAATGAGACTCGATACGCGCAATTGATAATTCATCAGGGCTAACTCACTGTGTCTCGCCAGAACTGAGCCTCGTCTAATTGATGTTTTCCCTCTTTCTCAGCCTGATCGCAAGCTGTGAGGAGGTTGTTCGCCAATACTCTGCTTTCCACGATGCCCATGGTGATTGCTGGAGCGAGAAGTGGATTGAAAGAACGATGTTGAGGTCGAGTGGAGTGAAGGAAGGGCAAGTCGTTGGCTGCTTCTGGACAGATCACATGTTTGTTCACCCGTCAAGCCGAGACCAGGGCCTTCACTGCCACCAGTATAAGACAGTCCGTTGCCCAACGCGGCAGCCCAACAATAATTCCTTTTAGCAGATTATTGAGGCCTGTTCAAGGTCTCATGACCGCCACGGAGAGCTCCAACCACGCCGCGCGAACGCGTGCGGGGCTATCCATCGTGTGACAGCTTTTGCCCACTGCACGCAAGGGACTAGCCGGGGGAGAGCCGACGAGCATTACCCAATTCTGAATAGGTCTTCTGCGCAGAAAACCTATTCAGAATTGGGTAAAGCTCGTGCATCGCGCCAAGCCCAACCTACCAAGCCCTGGACAGAACTCACCGCCACCTCGATGACCCCTAAGGAAAACGAAAAATTCGTATCATTAATTTGCCGGGGATACATATTGATCTGAATAACGGGCTACTCAACACATGTCAAGGAATATTTCAGGTCTCGGTGATCCCACTTGTCGCAGGCTGTCCCTGGCGACCTCACATTTCGGCCATTCTTCTTCTGATCCTTTTCTTGGTCTCGTTGCCCTTTTCGGTAGCTTGATCAATCCAGACAAAATTCCAATCACAGCCCCTTATTCCGATCTTAGTTCAAAACCAGCAAGCGTGTAAGGTGTTATCAGCACAGCGCCCTGGCCCATCATACTTCTATGTCGTCCTGCGGTATCTTAATCACGGCTTTCTTTCTTCGACTGACTCAAGCCGAAAGGAGAAATGATTAGCCCTGAATCTTGCGAAGTAAACTGTACAGATCTATATATCAATGTTCTAAGCGCACATTTCAGGTAGCTTTACTCTTCGCAAGATCTTCTGAACTTCTCAACTTCCCCCAAATAATTGTGTTATGAATTGGCTACCCGTTTTCACTTTCCCGGCCCCGCTTGCGAATTGCTTACAGTCAATGGGTCTTTATACCAATGATGATGATTCTCCCAGCGATGATGAATCTTTTTGCTGCGAAGAAGAGAGGCAAATTCATGATTGGGATTTGACTCGAGGAAATCCTGGCATCACAGCTTGGAATACGTATCCTACAAAGATGGTCTATAAACCTGACCCTGTCTACCTCAAAAACGATGCAAAACACCCAAGGATTGAAGCAGATTCGGTTTATTCTTATATTAAACCTAGTTTAGGTCAGTATGTGACGGACTGGAATGGATTGTCTTGCTTCTAACTACTGATAGCCACAGAATCACTGGCCCCGCAGAGCAGAAGTCAGAGCAAGTTTTTATACCCAGGGAATGGCATGGATAGTAACATAATTGAGCTTCCATCCATACCCCTCGGGTGGAAGTGCTATTCGAAGCCCAGCACCAACCTGTCTGGCGAGATGCCATCCAGCAGCAATCGAATAACCCTGACGTGTGTAAGTCACTGTCTATCTGGCTTCCCCTTCCCCGATATCTAACAATCTTTCGCCAGCCTGGAAATTGGATCTAATTGGAGAAAATTTGGTTCTTTGGGCTTGCTTTGAAGTCATCCTCTGCAATATCGTGCCGTATTAGTACCGTATTATGAAAGCTCCTTAAGAAAGCATAAGTATTCAGAGACTTACAATTCACTATTAAGAGAACACGATTAGAAACAGCAGGCTTGTGTGACTATCAGGATCTAATAGAGATAGACGGCAATCGGTAGGCCGAAAATAGTAAAGCCTGCACGAAAATAGTTTCGTTGAGGGAGAGAAAAAAACAAAGCTTTGAGATATCACAAAGAGGAAATGCCCATTTTGTGATTTAGATATTGATATCAAATTGGTTCCCTACAGCAAGTCGAAGTGTTCCTGTGTATATTGACCCACTTTGCTGTGCCAATTTTAGAGTTGATAATGTAGATGTTCATATATGGCCTTGGACGATGCGGGCTCTATCCTATATCGCTTTGAGACAAGATAAGGCCTTGACTTAGAGCCTTCCGCCTTACGAGAGAGACACCTTCCTTTGATTTCTGACTGTTTTTCACTCTTATATTTACTCTAACTCTTCTCATTTCTTGCAAACGGCTCAGGTTTTCTTGTACGTGGTTACTGTCAGCCACTGGGTAAAAACAGCGTGATGAATCCTGATCATGAAAACGTGAAGTACACTGGCTATGGTTGGGAGTGTATGCCCCAAAGTACTGAGGATGAGCGGAAACCTAGTGGCCAGCAACCTGCCAGGCCGGGTACCGAAGGAACACAGAAAGGATCAAAAAGATCAATCATGGTTAGTGCAAAGAACCAATTACTTATCATGAGATACTAATGTAATATGGCTTACCAGCTATCTGATCAGGTCATAGACCGACCAGCAAGATTGACTATCGAAGTGTTCCTGGAATTGAGAAAAGATCTCTCAAGTCTTACCCAGGAGTCTCTCGGTGAAGATGCAAAAGTTATTTTCCACTGGTACCTGGAATTACAGAGCCAGTTACAACCACCACCGAAGCGTACCGAGCTAGAGAAATATGCTCAAGATCTTTCGTCTCTGTTTGCGTCTATGTTTGTGGAAAACTATTCGCAATATATTATTCAAGACCTCACTTATGACACTCGTCTTAAGCTAGCCATTATCTATTGGCATTTTGATGACCCAGGCTTGGTGCGCGGATTCCTTCGGAGCCCGATCAATAAGGAGGTATGGGAAGGTCTTTATGCAGATTACCTGACCTATAGTCAGCAAGATATCACCTATCTTGAGTTCATACAATCCTTTGAATTTTTGCTGTCGCCACAACTCCCAAAGCGTCTAGCAAGTCCAAAATTAAGGGGAAGTGCACGCCATACCTCGCGAACTCTTGCCAAACGAAGACACCACCCCGTGTCCATCCCACGGTCGCAGTCGACCAGTCTTCTATCCTCTCTGCCCCCACGACCGGACGCGAACGATCGTCCTACTTTGCCTCCGATTCACGAAGTACTGAAGGGCGTCTGTCCAGACTTCCTAAATGCTATGTTCGTCCGTGATATCACATCGCAACCGACCTCCGGTTTAGAGAGGCATACAAGTACCACACAAAGCAAACTTACCATGAACGATCGAGATTCACTTATGTGAGAAAATGTAACACTCCGATTACCAGACTATACTAATCCCGATACACGAAAAGGTCCCATACGAATGTATACCTCCAGGATCGGCTCCATCCCCCGCAAACTCGTGCCAAACAGAAGGTTCGATTCGAACTACCACTACGATAGTGGCAAGCTCATGTCATCCGCCTATCGCCTCATGGTAGACAGACACCATACCGTTTCCAACCCAAGACAATAGAGGTATGGTGCGAGGTGAGTCCTAGATGCAGGGGGAGCTTCGGATGATACGAGTCTTCTTATTACTTTTAAAGCCTTGTGCCGCCAAAGAACCGGTGTCTTGAAATATGTTACTGTTAAGGCAACCCTGGAAGGAGGAAAGTAGATTTGTATGTTAAAAAAACCATTTCTGTTTCTTGAGTCTCAGCATAATAAGAAATACAGGCCAGCGAAGAGCATCCTTAATGCCTTGTTGGCTATGGGACATTCAAGCGCCGCTACTGCACATGGTTCATCACAAATTGTTTTGATTTCTTGGTTCTCTCGGATCATTTTCGAATTGCTCCGTGGATAGACCGACCATAATAACGGGTGTGTAAAGGGGTTTGGATGTCGAACAAAGGGCTGACGTATCATTCCCAATATTCTGGCTTCATATAAGTAACCGGTGCGGCCAAATGATTAGAATCAGACCCAGGAATCCTCAAAAACTTCGTTTAATGGAGAAATTTCGTGACCCCCAAACCTTAGAAGCGCTCAAAGCGACACCAAATGAAAGATTCATAGAACATATGCCCGGCGGAGGTGCACCATCTCCTCTGAATTCGCTTTCAGATTACTATCAGAGAATGCTTTGGCTGCTGCCCGACGAAGTGTGCAGCCATGTGCTTTCTGGATGGATGCAGTTAATACATGCGAAGAAGGGTTCATCTGAGCCATTTCCAAATTTGTGGCTGTATTTCCTAGATACTTGCAGATTGTCTTCGCGGTCACATAAGTCTGGTAAGTTGAAACCTGGTCATGGGATTTTCAGAGGTGCTAACATCCACTAGTAAATGTTCAGCTTCTGCAGTGGTTCATCTGCAATGTAGTCTGCGACGGAGCTATTATCGATGAGCTCTACAGTGTAATGCAGACAATTACTGGTCATCGTAATGCTCAATGGTGTCGAGAACTACTTGGTGGGATACTGCTTATTCGACGAGGTGAGATTGCCTGCACTTCGGGTTCCATGCGAATCGATCCTATGAACAAAGGACGTACGTGCCCGAACCAAGATGCGAGCTCGTTGAATGGTACTCATTCCGTACTGCTGGGTTGCAAGAGAGATGAGCCTTCTAACAGAAACATAGAGATACAACGGGTTGAGCCACCAGGCATTGAAACCGAATTTACAATCTATACAGACCTAATCGCCGATTTGGGTGCCACTCACGGCGTATTCGGTTTAGGAATACATGTCTGGTACATCAATGTGATTCACAGCCCGTATCGCAGATTGCCAGTTGATTTTCAGCGTGACTTTTTGATTGCGTGGCAGACCTTTAACTTGGACGGTCAACCGCTGTAAGATGATTATACCTCAATACTGATTAGTTCAGTCCAAATGAACTAGCGCTAACATGTGTCTAGTCATGAACTCCGTGAAGTATGGGTTGCGTTGTATAGCGACGTCATTCACCAGAAAAGTGGAAACAGTCTTCAACTATTGCAAGATCGAATGGTTGTCGAAAAGATTCAAACGTCTGCACTTATTGGTCGTGTATATCTTGTGGGAGAAATGAGGTTCGCATAAAACCATCCCTATTCGTGGTTGGAATTAATTAAGAACCATACATAGTCACACTTCGACCCTAGCGAGACTATCAGGTTATGTGTGAGTTCTGTAAGAAGCTGGTTGTCTTATGATGGGAAGCTAACATTACCAAAGGGGTTTCTCGATAAGAAGAGCCTATACCAAAGATATCTTATCTTCAATTGAAGATATTGGAAACTGGAGTGCTATCCCTGATGATATCAGGAGAATCTCGGGTTGATCACAACGCCGTTTCCGACGGTCCGCAAGAACCATTTGCTAAGCTTCGGGTCAAATAGCACATGGCTTTGCATCCATTTGAGTTATTCAGGGAAAACCAAGGCCAGGGGTGGACCCGTCGATAAAAATCGCTCGATCATGACATAGACTCCTGAAAAGTCCGAAATGACCCGCCAGTGGCGGTCTTGTTCTTCTGGTGACGGACGTCAAGGCTACGATCGTGTCAGAAGAACTATGGATATTGCCGGTCGTGCTAGATCGACATAAAGACGCATGTCCCTAATTAGATCGAAATTAATCATTAAAATTATGCGATTGCGTTATATGGGAGACATTTTTCCGACGCCATGGTGCCTGGCTGAGAGACATGAAACAAGGAAACCTGTGTAGAGTCCACGGATTCAGCTGACTGTGCTTAGCTGGATATATTAGAAAAAATGGATTGCCAAAAAGTCTCTTAGGCAGTACTGTCTCCCCTCCAGAGGGTCAATCGAACAAAAAAGAAAAATTGGATGCGTAAGAAACTGGGTTAATAGGGCAATTGGAATAGCGAGAGTGATAAGTACTAGTTAACGGAGTCTCCTGGCTTTCAGTTCTCGCTACCTGAAAGTTTTCCTCAACATAGACCAGACGAGCTGCCACATTTTCCACATAAGGATTCCCTTCGTGATGGTTGTAGCCAGTCACAACGGAATTTTGATAGAATGGCAGTGCCTCAACCAATCCCGAAGGACGCTTCTCCAGCCATGTCCTACAATGACTGGCTCAGCAATTTCACTTCCGACATCAAAGATAATGGGAGGCCAAATAATTCCCACTAGCGAAATAACTAGCACTGTTAAGGGATGATCGATCAAATCACTAGGTTAGACGCCTACATGAGCAAACGAAATCAACAACAGCAATACAAATAAAGGGCTGTATAAGTATCAGGGGCCAAAAGGAAGGATCCGTGATTTTCAGTTCGCAACTTTAGAGAAGTTCTTCACTGCATCCGAGATGAGCTGTCCTTCGTTTGCACATGTACAACCCTCTCGAGCCAGATCCTATGAAGACTGGCTCAGCGATTTCACTTGGGACATCTGTGGAGATTTGGCATACAACTGGATTGGGCTGTTTGAACCAGATATGAACTACTCTGGTCCAACACCAGTATGGTGGCCTGTGGGTGTAACTTTGACGCATCCTCGGCGCATGTTGAAACAGGGTATGATAATTGTTACTGACTGCATCCTAAAAACTGACGAGACGAAGATAAGGTTATACTTCTCCGCCATTTGCTGCATGGAAAGTTGCTTGAACATTGCACGAGGGTCAGCTTAGAGATTGAAGCACGCAACATTCATCGTCTTCAGAGTTCACCAGTTCATCAGAAGACCCTTGCCAAGATCCTCGACGCTTTCCAGGATCAACAGACAGGCCGAAACATGCCTATGCATTGGAACTTTGAGAGTCCTGACAAAGGTAAAAGTCTACTCCGGTCCCTTTGTAAAGCCTTAAAGCGCATGCCATAGCGTAGCATCATCTCCATTCACATCGTGTTCATAATGGCTCACTCACGCTCAACTCTATTAGCAACATCAATTAGGCAAATCGTGGAAGTGAACCCAAATCCGCCTGAGTATTTGGCGGACTTGACTTCCGATTTCTGTGTTGAATGGCAGTCATTTTCACCGCAGGGAGAGCCGCTGTAAGTGATTAACATAGCTGACACGAAATAACCTGACATTGGCCTAGGCATGCAACAGCAATAACCCGTTGTGCGCTCCGGGAAGGGTCCCTCCTTTCTCTGGAGGGGCGGACACTACAACAATGCTCGGTGGCCCAAGAGATTCGGACGGACCCAAGAATGGGTAACCTAAAACTTGTCGTCGCATATAAGTATGCTTTCCAACATTTGTATGCATCTCATGACTGACGGAGAATTCTGTGAAAGCCCGCCACAACCCGGCCAATTCGTGTCTACTCTCTCTTACATGTAGGTACCTTGTCCTCTCTCTGATTTCGAACTTGGCTGAGCCCACAGGGCATTCTCAATCAGGATTGCAGTTTCACTGTCGCACGGCCGCATAGTGACGACGAACGCACGAGGTTGGGAGGATATTTCTGGCCTCATCGCAGAACTCGAGGCCCAGTATTTAGCGACTAGGTCTTTCGCATGAGTTAACGGGGTCGTACAGCGGTTCTCGATGGCGGAATACCTTCTAGCAGAGCCATACTGGGATTGGGGCATCATAGAGGATGCAGTCATGCTTTTTGAACGTGCTCAAGAGCGTCAATGAAAAACCTTTGAAGACGATACCCATGTCTTCGAACATACGCTGTGTCTTGCTGCTACTGCGATGGCACTTTCATTGAAACATACTGGTGAAGGCAAGGACGATTTGACGGCTGAAAAAACATCAGCAGAGCATTGAAGCCTTACAACTGGTGGAGGCTTGGGGAGAAAGATGCCTAGTGGAGATCTTTTTCGAGTGCCAGATGCATACATTCTGTTACATGTCATTCGACATATGATACAGGGCAAGCGTCAAAAGACATTCGAGAGCGGGCTCATTCTACAGTGTCATACCCGAACAATAGTTTAGTTACCTTCTCTCTGTCTCTTTCCATATCTACTGAAAGTTGATTGACTTCTTTCAGACCGCTCTCCTCAATTGCCCTCAGTGGTCCTTAATACTGCAAAAATAGTCAGCTAGGGAGTAGATGTCCAACTCAGCCAATCATCGTTGTTCCTAAGGCCTGTTTGGTCAGACCTCATCGTGTGCCACTTCCTCAGTCATTCCACCGGGAAGCCGTAGCGGCCAGTTTTTCTCGTTAACAGACCGTGTATCATAGGTCTAGACTGGTAGCATAGAACAGGCCCTACAGGGAGCGGTGTGATAGCGAGCGGCGGATGCCATTGCCGTCCAGCTTGGTCAAACTTTTTAGTTTGCAGAGGATGTACTCGTTCATCAGTCTGCAAAGGATTTCTTACTTAGAGAGAAACGAAATGAGATCCTTCCTAGAGGTATAGAAGCTGAACATCATGCAATTTTCTCGCGCTCGCTTCAAGTCATGTACAAGACACTTCGACGGAATGTCTTTGATCTCAGTTTTCCTGGGGTCCCGCCTGAGCAGGTCACACAACCAAGTCCGAATCCATTAGAAGCTGCGCAATATGCTTGTGTCTATTGGGTGGACCATCTTCAGTGCGGTTGGTGTAATGAAAACGATGATCTTAGCCTCGACGAAGGGGGGTGCCTGGATAGTTTCCTACAGCAGAAATATCTACATTGGCTCGAAGCCCTTAGCATCCTGGGAAGCGTACCACAAGGTATAGCTGCCATGATGAAGCTTGAGGGCTTTCTTCAGGTGAGTTTTTAAATATGCCGATAATATCTCCTCTTCTAACAATGAGGGAGCTATGATAGAAATAAGGCAAGTTGCAAGTCCTCTTGTATCGAGTGCGGGATGCCTCTCGGTTTATTCGATACCATAGGCTAGCAATTGAAAGCAGCGCACTTCAAGTATACTGTTCACCACTTATATTCAGCCCAATGCAGAGTACGACGAGGATTTGTTATAAAAATGAGAGACCAGATTGGATTCTGAATGAGCCAGCGGTGGAGAAGGATTGAAGTCCATGTCTTCAAACCTTGGAGGGGCATGATGGTTGGGTTAACGCAATCGGCTGGTCGCAAAATGGAAGCCGACTCGCATCAGCTTCGGATGATAACACCGTCAGGGTCTGGGATCCGGCCACTGGGCAGTGTATATCAACCCTCGAAGGACACAGCGCTTGGGTCTAATCGATTGACTGGTCGCCAGATGGAAGCCGACTCGCATCAGCGTCAGATGACATGACGGTCAGGATCTGGGATCCAGCCACTAAGCAGCGCGCGTTGACCCTTAAGGGGCATAGTGATCTCGTTCGCTCGATTGCCTGGTCGCCAGATGGAAGCCGACTTGCATCAGCGTCAGATGATAAGACGGTCAGAATTTGGGATCTAGCCACCGGTCAGTGCATTTTAACCCTCGAGGGGCCCAATAAAGCGGTCCGCTCTATTGCCTGGTCTCCAGGTGGAAGCCGACTCGCATCAGGGTCCTTTGATAACACGGTTAGAATCTGGGATCCGGCCACTGGGCGATTCATATCAACCCTCGAAGGACATAGCGGCTGGGTCCGCTCGATTGCCTGGTCACCAGATGGAAGCCGACTTGCATCAGGGTCCTTCGATAACACTATTATGATCTGGGATCCATCCACCGGCCAGTGCCTAGTACTCCTCGAGGGGCATGGTGGCTCGGTAAACTCAATAACATGGTCACCAGATGGAAGCCGACTCGCATCAGAGTCATCTGATAACACTGTCAGAATCTGGGACCCATCCACTGGCCAGGGTACGTTGCTTCTCAAGGGGCATAGTAGTTGTGTCTTCTCAATTAAATGGTCGCAAGATGGAAGCCGACTCGCATCAGAGTCATCTGATAACACCGTTATGGTCTGGGATACGGCTACTGGCAAGTGCGTTTTAACGCTCGAGGGACATAGCCACTGGGTCAACTCAATCGCGTGGTCGCAGAATGGATGCAGACTTGCAACAGGGTCCTCTGATAACATGATCAGGGTCTGGGACCTAGCCACTGGCAAGTGCGAATCAATTCTCGAAGGGCATAGTCGTTCTGTCAACTCGATTGCCTGGTCGCAAGATGGAAGCCGACTTGCATCAGCGTCAGATGATTGCACCATAAGGATCTGGAATCTGGCCACCGACCAGTGCGAATCATCACTTTATAGAAGCGTCCCTTTCTTGATTGGATTTGATACAGCCAATCTGAATCATCTACATACGACGACTGGTACATTTATCTTAGGTTCCACTAGCCCTCTCACGTCCATCTCTCACTGCTCAATCTCCTTGACAGAACAATACGGGTATGGCTTGAATGATAATCATTCCTGGATAACCTATAATGGAGTCAACCTTTTGTGGCTGCCTGCCGAGTATCGACCGACCGACCCTTCTCTTTTTTCTACATCAGGGACAACTTTGGCAATCGGTTGTTCATCAGGTCGTGTCATATTTCTCGCACTTTCAAAACGGAATTCTCTATCTAGGAGATAAATGGCATTTACATCACTTCAAGTTTAGCGAGATTTCCTCTAAGTTGAAAGCCATAGGCCTGCATTTATGCGGTTGGATATAGCCATTTTGGGCTCAGTGCTAGCACTGATCAACGCCCACAGTTAGCTGATGGAGTACAGGTAGGATCAGTTAAAGAGTGCAGCATTTTGTAGAGTCATAATAAATGCGTTGTTACAGACGCGCTCGAAATCAGTTTCACCACCTTATTCTCTTTGATTCTTTGCTAACCTGAATCCTGAAACAAACTAGTCTATTTTGGATTTAGCGGATTTCAAGATATCGAACTGTTTTGTAAGGTCGAGTCACATGATGAACTGCTCTGTAATGTATTGGAAATGCCAATACAATCAACCATTCCTAATTTTAGAAACATTGTTTCTCACGGAGGTCTCCAAGTTCCATCGTGCTGCCAGCATACTCTCAGAGTAGTATCATCCAAGCTCGAGTGTTTCGGGACTCGACCAACGCTTCAGTTTTTGTGGGTTCCATTGAGGAGCCTCTATAGCATTGTGCGAAGTGGCCGGAGCCTAAGTCCTTTTATTAGTAGACAACGTATCCTTTGACCATTCCGACTGTAAAGAGCAAAAGTATTCTAGCGCGGTTTGAAACTGATGTACCTTAATATTTAAAATTGGCTTCTATGTTTTGCATGAGAAAATGTGTCTGGAAATCTAAATGTAATACCGCTAGGCCTGATATGGACTGGTCTATCATAGCGGTGCCTGTTAAAGAGTGGCGATTTAGCTTATTCTTCTATCATTTGTCAGTTGATATATATCACATATCACCGTCAGACACCCCAAAGTGAGATCCTTGTACGCCTAAGGGCGAGCCGGCGTGGTCCACCGCGCACTATAATCTTTCCCTGGAAAGGTATCAATATGCCCTCGCGGGCCCCGCGGTGGGCATGGCCGTAACTGAGTAATCCACTCTTTGAAGGAAACGTCAGCTCCCTCAGCATTGAAGGTATGCAAATTCCAGAAATTTGGCTCAAGAGATCCACTCAGCTTGCTCAAATCATCTTGCATGTGCAAACGATAGCCTCGATAACCTATATTCTTCAAGGAAATCGATCGCAGTGAGTACTTATCTCCGAGGAAATTCAAAACCTGTTGCCAAGCAGGAATGCTCTCCTCAATCATCTCTTGCCAATCCCGGAGATCCCGTTGATGGCCAGTGTGGTTGTCTGTCGGGGGCAAAGCTCCCCTCAAATTCACTGATTCTAGGGACAGAGCCCTCAAAGTCGGCCTTGCTGTGCGCAAGAAGGCTTTCAAGGCATCAAAGGTTATTTCAATCCAGTAAAGATGAATTTCCTTTATGCTGGTGAAATTGATACGCTGGGAGAGGTCATCAAAATATTGAGGACCCAGTGCTCCGTTCAGGTCCCATTGTGAGAATGTTAGCACCTTGAGACTTGGTGCAACCATTACAGGGAGATCGACAAGGCTCCTGAACATAGAATCATCAAACTGTGTCTCCCAGATGCTGGTGCAGAGATGTAAAAATTCCAATTGTCCTAGGGACGAGAGCAGAGACTGGCTTGTTTGTTTGAGTGTAACATCCGAAAGTGACAAAGCACAGTGTTCATCGTTGCATGTGTCCAGCTTTTTGATTCTCCTCTTGGAGCTTACCACTGCCTCTAGGAGAGCCGAGAAAGCTACAGCATGGTCCTTGGCTCTGGTCTTCAAAAGGTTGTGTATGGGTTTTCTGGTCCTCAACCCGAAGGGATCAAATCCAAGCTGGCGTCTTGCTGCGCGCCAACCGATGCACCGGAAATTGTCATTGACCGATTGACTGAAGAAAAATTCATCAGTGCTGTGTTGCAATCTGATGGTCGTTAGGTTATCAAAGAGTGCAAAACATTTCTTAAGAACGTTGCTAAGAGTATCAGATTCGACAATGCTGAGATGTTCTGCTACTAGAGCCTGGTATGCAATATACTCGGTTTTGATCCTGTGGGCGGACTTTTTGCTTTTATAAGAATTCGTTGCGTCCCGAAAAGATTCCAGGTCCATCTCGTAATAGCCTTCGAATAAGGATGGCGTTATCCATAGCTCTTGAACTCGTGTCCGAAAAATATCGTGCGCGGCGAGCTCTTCCAACTGACAAAGACTGTGGCGAGTGAGCATGAAGCCAACACTGTTGCAATAGCGGTCTGCGAAAGTTTCCAGCGACTTGATGTACACGTCTTTGCAAGCGATACGAAACGCACACCAGTCGCGCACCTCCAGATGGCTGCAGATATCGCGTACGAGCTCTGTGGGAAGAGCTGAGACAGACATCAATAAGTATAGTGTCTTGGGTTACCCTTTCAAGGGGCATGAAAAGGAGGAATTCGGTTGAGCAGAATTTGTTTGTCTCGATGACTTTTTTCTGGAGAGGTTGCATTTCTGCGGGGCTTTCTAGAAATGGCGTGATTGATCGAGAACGTACCAAGACACGCTAATCCCCTTTCATACTGGTTTAAATTGACTGGAAAACGTAAATAACAGGAGTGAATGCATACAACCATGATACCATAGCTGTTTTTATGTCATTATTTGTTACCGTAATGAGATACTGCCAAGGAGGGGGTCTGGGGAAAGCTAACCGTAAAAGGTATGGCGTCATGCAAAATAGAGTTCAACAAAGAATTGAAGAGAGTATACACGTGAAACTGATTTCGAGCGCGTCTGTACGATATACCCCACCAGCTATTATTCCTACACTTGTGCACATCTTTTTCGCTGATGCAACGTGTGTGACATTGTGGCCAGACAACCAGCTGCCGCATTTTTTTGGCATGTTTGTTAGGAAGAAGCTTCTGGGAATAATAACCCATACGAGACAATACAAACACTATTTTTATAAAGAATTTTACAAGGTGAAACTGATTTCGAGCGCCCCTGTATAAGAAAATCGATTTTAACTATTGACTATATACTTTTTGCTGTTGGCAACGACTGTCGTTTCCCAAGCTTTGTGCTCCAATACACCTGGATGGAGCCTTGAGACCTTCCAGGGAATTTCTGACTAAACTGCTCAGTCACCTCCGACCAAGCAAGGTTTTTTTCTTCTCTGAGCTTCACCAGTAGGCGAATCTCTTCGTCGGACCACAATAACCCTTTTCTCGAGGAAGGAGTACATCCTATTTCCCCCGCTTGGGCACTCTCGCATGAGTGTTGAGATCTGGATGTTGAGATTTTCCCCCTTCTCGGAGGCCGGTGGAGGCAATGAGACAAGGCACCCTCGAAAAGCCAGGATAAGAACTGCAGTCTTTCCTCGACCGAAAGGGCAGAGAATTGAGCACG